AAGGCTGTTGACCAATATTGATGCTTTAAGTGCTTAACATGGAAGCAATATGATTTACATTATTGATGTTTTTAATACTAACAAATATGATTGCACATTTATGATTATTACAGATGACCTATGCAACAAGTTTCACATACATCTTGTGAAATGGTTGAGAAAATTGCCTAAGTTCATGCAAAATAGGTATTTAATATGTACAAATTTTAACCAAAAACTGATCAGGTCTGCACATTCTCCCAGAGCATCAAGTTTCATTGTAATATGAAGAATGGTTCTTGAGGTCAGCCAAACAGACATACAAACATGTACAAGGTTATAATACAGAATTATGGGCTTCAAACAGGAGCCAAAAACAGGGTAAGCCTTATTGTTGAATTTCAAGCTAGTTACATAGAAATGTCCCATAGTTACAGATTTAATAGGTTATGTATAAGATGCATACATTACACCATGCACTGTTTGTCAAATCTAAACGAATTTCATTTCTTTTTTGTAGTTGTTCAACTCTTGAGTGAATTATCAAGACAAAAAAAAATGTTATTCAAGAAGTTTTTGTCTCACAATGACAGTTCACTTTAACAGATTCAACACAATATGCACTAATTGAATAATTTTCTTTTTGACGTTAATTTACATACACTACTAGAAAAAATAGCAATACAAATAATTATCATACACTTAAAGGAGCTTTTAGTCATGTCTGACCCTCTAGCAAGACCATGAAATGAAACCTCAACTTGGCATCTCTAAGGGTATTATTAATGATCCTTCGAACCATTAATGTACTTTGCAAGAAAGTAGATAAACTTGCCTGCCACCACTGCCCACAACTGCTCTAAGAGACTCAATATGCTACTATACACAAGGCAACATTTGGCAACACATTCAACATTTGAAGTTAGACTGGGGAGTATCCTGTCATGTTGACTAAAGCCCTGTAAGTAAAACTGCAGAATTAAAATTAAGTAAAATTACATCACGGACAAAAAATGTGATGTATCACATTATATTATTATAATCTCATTCTTAAAGTCGTATACATTACACCAGCGTAATTAAGATTACTGTTTCTTACAAGGGGCATAAATATGGTGCCAATATACGATGTCTTGTATGTACTTTTCCATGTTTTCAACGATATCATCTCAGTTTTTGGCCATGTTAAATGTTGTACATCAATATAAAAGTATTCAAACCACAGCAGATAATCTTGAGTTTAACAACTAGGTATAGTTACATATAACCTAAACTGCATAAATATCTGACGTGTATTATATTATTTTAAAATAAGCTAAATGTAAATACAGTTGATCATAGCATTCAAATGCAGTTTAAGACGCTAATTTACTTATAAAACCAGCTGGTGACTGAGTGATGCCATACAAGCAAAGTATCATGTTTAGATATAAGTATATAGTACTAGTCACAACGAGAGCTGGTAACCCCCCCCCCCCATACTATTTTTAGGATATTTTGAATTCCTTTAACATCAAGTTATGATGTTCACACATGTTTACCTACATAAAGGAACACAAAAAACAAATGTGAACAAGTCATGGCAGTCGCATAAACATACTCAAATCACTCTATTCCATCAACGCCGGCTTTGAATGAGTTTTATCTCGTGAACTGGGTTACAAAGTTTGCCGTGTAAGGGCATATACCCAACAACGCCAGCTTTGAATGAGTTTTATCTTGTGAACTGGGTTACAAAGTTTGCTGTGTAAGGGCATTTACCCAACAACGCCAGCTTTGAATGAGTTTTATCTCGTGAACTGGGTTACAAAGTTTGCTGTGTAAGGGCATTTACCCAACAACGCCAGCTTTGAATGAGTTTTATCTTGTGAACTGGGTTACAAAGTTTGCTGTGTAAGGGCATTTACCCATCAACGCCAGCTTTGAATGAGTTTTATCTCGTTAACTGGGTTACAAAGTTTGCTGTGTAAGGGCATTTACCCATCAACGCCAGCTTTGAATGAGTTTTATATCCTGAACTGGGTTACAAAGTTTGCTGTGTAAGGGCATATACCCATCAACGCCAGCTTTGAATGAGTTTTATCTCGTGAACTGGGTTACAAAGTTTGCTGTGTAAGGGCATATACCCATCAACGCCAGCTTTGAATGAGTTTTATCTCGTGAACTGGGTTACAAAGTTTGCTGTGTAAGGGCATATACCCAACAACGCCAGCTTTGAATGAGTTTTATCTCGTGAACTGGGTTACAAAGTTTGCTGTGTAAGGGCATATACCCAACAACGCCAGCTTTGAATGAGTTTTATCTCGTGAACTGGGTTACAAAGTTTGCTGTGTAAGGGCATATACCCAACAATGCCAGCTTTGAATGAGTTTTATCTCGTGAACTGGGTTACAAAGTTTGCTGTGTAAGGGCATTTACCCAACAACGCCAGCTTAGAATGGTACAACCATTCACACATGCTGATCAATATGAAACCAGCAAGTAGACAATGATCACAGTAGGAAATTTATTTTCACAAAAAAACAATATTTTCAAGAAGTCAATGAAAATTGCAAAATTGTGTACATTAAAAATGTTACCAAGTCACATGTCTTTTGTGATAATTGAATAGTTTACAGTACAACAGATTCATAATTTAATTTGATACATGTATCGTTTATTTGTTTGGCAACCAGATCTAGTTTTCAGACAGAAAGGACCAGTGCATCCTCTAAACCTATTTAGAGTGTTGTGCACACAGACTTTCTGTGATAACTACTTATACTCATTCCTTGCAGCATCATTAACTCGAAAGGAAATCGCAAATTGAATAAACTACCGTGAAAAAATATCTATCGATAATTATAGATGATGAATTGTAATTTGGTAACAGAATATTTTATAAACAAATCAGGTGTGAGAACAAAGGAAATCGGGAACACAAGATTTCTGACCGTACTAAGCAAGTTACTTACAGTCGCATATACAATGTTGATTTTATTGATACCTCCTCTCACCGACAATCAACAAGCTGATCAAATTTTGATCTGACTTGGGGATTCTGTTTTAATTCAAAATGCCCATAAAATTACTCGTTAGAGGAACACTGGTAAGGTTTAAAATGCACATTTTACAAAATTATACAAAATAAAATAACCAATGCAAAGTTTTTGGATTACAACATTTCTATTAACCATTGTCATGTTTTCTTGATGTCAGATTACCAGACCGATTAGTATAGTCTGATCTAGACTCCATACCATCTAAAAGACAAATTACACATTTTGACAAAACTGGTTGATAGTCACTAAAGTGTGCTCACTTTGGTACCATTACATATAAAATTATTTTTGAAAAATGCTCTTTCATAGTAGTATAGACCAATATGCACAACAGCAGCATCATCATCATGATAGAATATTACAAAAAACATTTGTTGACTCATGCACACCTGTCAGAGATGAGCAGTTTGTGCTGTATTCTAATTTTGCAGGATTGAGCAATGTAAATAGAAAACGATTTTCATACTTAAACTTACTAAATTATACGTCATATTTTTTACATAATTCTACAATTTTAGGATTTGTATCAATAAAATAAGACTTTTATCCCATATCCCAGAGTAAAATTTTGAATATAATCTCACCATAGAAACCAGTAACAAATCCTGAGGAACACACAGTAATGAAAATAGTATTAACATGACATTTAATCTGGCTTGTACCTTAAGCAAAGGCAAAAGATTGTCATGCCTTCTTGAAGCTAACCTGCCATTACCAACCAATTATTTGAATCTACACAACTTGCATTGTATGTACCCTGTAACCACATCAGTTATGATGTAAATAAACAAATTTACCAAGACCTACTATGGTAAGTAAAATTGAAATACTAATATGAAAAGTAAGCATCATTTTCTGATTTATTACCAAATTATTGCAATTTGGCAACAAAAATAATTGTATGGCCATTTGAAAAAACATTTTGCACCTGGCAGTTTTTTTTTATTCTATAATCTCATTTAAACAGATTAATGCTCTTAAGGCTATGTTTGGTGAACTTTTGGTAATGATTAGATTCATTCAGTGATTCAGATTTCAGTATCAATCAAAGTTTTTTTTGTTTTGTTTTTTGCAAGTAGCACAACATAGTAGCATTATACATTATAATAGCATTATAACTTGCAGCTTCCCACAACCACATCAGGGTTATTTGGCAGCATGCCAAAAATTAGCAATTTGTCATAGCAAAGATGATTCAAATTTGAGTAGACAAAGACAAGGTGAATCATGCAATAACAGTATAGTCGTCACTTCAGCTACTACTACGCAACTGGGTGAAGAACGTTATCTAAAATACAAGTACAATTTCAGCCAAATAAAAAAAAGCCGATAAACTTTTTAAAATTTGTTCCTGAGATGATTTAACATTCACACTTAACTATTAGTTTTATAAAACATTACTTGCAATAATTTGCTGTTATAGCTGTATCCCAGAGTCAGTGGACAAAGGATTTCATGGAACAATGGAAGCCTGCACTGCACACTGATGCCAAACAATTTATATGGAGATGTCTGTACTGTTATGACATACTATGCTATACCAGCATCATTTCTCCACAGGTATGGTAAGAACACATTTTTTATTTGATAATATTGGATTTTGTTTTACCACCATAGTGAGCAATCTGGTAAGGCGCTTTGTCAAGTAAGAGAAACAAAGCCCCACCCCCTTGTGCACTGTAACACAACCACACATGTGGATAAGGTCTGTTTTTATTATGATGGAGTTTCGGATTTTAAAAGGTGCGAAAATCAATTCAAGCCTTTGTTCCAAATGCTTTGTTTTAGTTTACAGGCAAGAATGTTTTTATTGAGATACCGACGACATTAGCACATAACTGTTCAGTACAACATCCACGGTAAACAGCCAAACCTATTTTGATTGATACACGAGAACTATGACATCATCCGAATAGTACACAGACAGACATGCATGCAAAACACGTTAAGTCGATATCATAGTGAAAATAAACGCCTCACCTAATGCTACTGGCGGAACAAACCACATTCGCGGCGGCGGAGTATTTTTACTGTGAACATGTGAGAGAATTTGGTGCACAGTTTGCCTGCAGTTGTTCTGTTGTTTGATCCATTCCTGCATACGAGACTTCTCCAAACACCCGTTAAAGTACACCACGAGATGTATGTTTGAACTTCGGCAGGCTCGAGCTAAGTTGTCGATAAACTGGAACATGTAATTCCATTGGCCACCACATACCCAGTCAGAGAAACTCCCTCCATAGAGTCGGTGGAGGCAACTGTCGGCGTCGATTACTAAATAGAACGGATTTTCGCCTGTCTTGCTCCTCTTGCGACCTCGACCAATTTTCTGTAGATCAACAGGAACGCAAGCTTGAGGACAGTTGCGTTCAATGAACTCGATGAGGCCCTGTATTCCCATTATTGTCTTTTTGCACCAGTATGAACAGCCCAGTAACCCATGGAGGCTTGTAAAAGAACTATAGTGTCGTTATAACCCGGAATTTTCACTGAATTTCTGCATTTGTTGTGGAAAGCTCACATTCACAGCGCGCCATGTGCTTTGGAAAATGAACAAAAGCCCTTCACTGCGCATGTGCTGCGCAAAGGTTTATGGGTAATGGGGGAAAAGAAGCAGAAGTCGCACGAAATTAACTCCGAATTCCTGGTTCCGAATTGACCAAAATGTTGTAACAGGATGTAGAGCGACGTAGGCCATTAACAGCTCGGGACGGTAAATATAGTCTCCTCCCGCGTGATGTTAACCAGCCGGGGACATAGTGTGACGCATCAGTCCTCACTTTTAATGTTTTATAACTGAAAGAAATGATTAAGCGTTAGCAACGAAATACAGTATGACTCAGCAAGAACAAAAAAAAAATATTCTTCTCGGAGAGATGATAATTAAGAAGTTCAGACCTCGTGAACGATAATGCTCTCGAGTCATCATTAATCATTTTGGATCAAAGGTCCAAATATAGTAGATATAGTACCTATCTTTTTTTAGAACTACAACATCATTCATTGAATGAGGGGGGGTGACAATGTTTTTTGATCATTTTGGGTGAATAGAATTGCATACAAATTTTATTGTTGTACACTCTTGAAAATAGCATAAATACTTAATAATCCAATCCTAGTAATTGTGAAAGTTTTTTTTTCCCTGATCACTTAATTTTCAAATTTTTAAGATTTGGTTTAGTGCTATTTTTTCCATGATCAATTTGCTGTAATTTTACCCAGTGTGAAATATTTATTTTCTAAGATTTTGATTTCTGCACTTTTCCAGTGCATTTTTTTCAATATTCTGCCATTGTCCCTCCCCAAAGTTTCTAAAAGCCCATTTTTAAGCATGTTCATTTGCGGCCGAGTTGTAATGTGCACCGTATTAATATTTAGTAGATGCAGAATAATATGCAGTATATGTTGACTTTGATTTTGCATAGTATTTATCCTACTGTATATTCACATATTATATCAGTGAAACCACAGTCTATGCATTTGATAGAGGGAAATAACAACCAAAAATATGAAGCAAAACAATGCCAAAGCTTAATTACTCATAACTTTTAAGAAGTTGGTCATAAATCACTTGACATCATGAAGCTATATGGTCTCATGGCACCATGAAATAGCATTCTACGTATCTTGAAAAACTAGTCATTATTTTTAAAACAATTCCATAGGGCACAATGTAAACGAAAAATTATAAAAGCATTACACTAAAATACAACCATCATATTCATGAAAATTACATGTAAGCTGGTGACCCACAACCCTGTTTTAGTCAATTATATTGCCCAGAAGTACATTTTTTTGGAAAATGAATAAATTCTGTGTATATTTTATTTATGAGTAGGCTTCTACCTTAAAGTGACACAGTCGTCGCGCAGAGTGTGTTCGAATTTTGTGTACACAAACAATGTATTTTATGTGCATTGTATACGTCGTTATGGTACCCATATCGAACAAGATGCGTAGTTTATAAACATTGGGGGAGAGGGGGGTTGTGTGAGCAAATTAAGTTTTCCCTTCACTTTTGTTTTGAGCTAGATTGCTATGCCTATGTATGTTTTTTTCTAAAAACATTTTTTCAGTATTTTTCTCCTGTAGAATTTTTTTTTTTTTTTAATATCTACTACCTCTGATTTGATTTGAATGGTTTTAAAACAGCATAATTTGTGTTCTAAGACCGTGGCTTCTTTTAGAAAGGATATCAGTTTAGTTTAAGTTTATAGAATATCAGTTTAGTTTGGTTTGGTTTTAGAATATCAGTTCGGTTTAGTTTATGAAATATCAGTTAAGTTTAGTTTAATTTATAGAATATCAGTTCTGTTTAGTTTGGTTTATAGAATATCAGTTTGGTTTAGTTTAATTTATAGAATATCAGTTCAGTTTAGTTTAGTTTATAGAATATCATTTCAGTTTAGTTTATAGAATATCATTTCAGTTTAGTTTATAGAATATCAGTTCTGTTTAGTTTGGTTTATAGAATATCAGTTTAGTTTAGTTTATAGAATATCATTTCAGTTTAGTTTATAGAATATTAGTTCGGTTTAGTTTATAGAATATCAGTTCAGTTTAGTTTGGTTTATAGAGTATCAGTTCAGTTTAGTTTGGTTTATAGAATATCAGTTTGATTTAGTTTAATTTATAGAATATCAGTTCAGTTTAGTTTATAGAATATCAGTTCTGTTTAGTTTAGATTATAGAATATCATTTCAGTTTAGTTTATAGAATATTAGTTCGGTTTAGTTTATAGAATATCAGTTCGGTTTAGTTTATAGAAGATCAGTTCATTCTAGTTTAGTTTATAGAATATCATTTCGGTTTAGTTTAGTTTATAGAATATCAGTTTGGTTTAGTTTAATTTATAGGATATCAGTTCGTTTTAGTTTAGTTTATAGAATATCATTTCGGTTTAGTTTAGTTTATAGAATATCAGTTTGGTTTAGTTTATAGAATATCAGTTCTGTTTAGTTTAGATTACAGAATATCATTTCAGTTTAGTTTATAGAATATGAGTTTGGTTTAGTTTATAGAATATCAGTTCGGTTTAATTTATAGGATATCAGTTCGTTTTAGTTTAGTTTATAGAATATCATTTCAGTTTAGTTTAGTTTATAGAATATCAGTTTGGTTTAGTTTAATTTATAGGATATCAGTTTGGTTTAGTTTAGTTTATAGAATATCAGTTCGGTTTAGTTTAGTTTAATTTATAGAATATCAGTTCGGTCTAGTTTAGGTTATAGAATATAAACTATTTACTAATATATATAAATAGAATATTGAAAATAATCTAATTTTATCTGTTATAGCATGGAGTCCATCATCTATAGTCCGATGTGCCGCTAATCTGAACATTCAGAACATATTAGTCCTGAAATGATTTGCACAAACAGACCATCACGTAACATGTTTCATATATAGACCAAAGACCCTCATTAAGCTTCATAACGACATTAGAGTACAGACGCGTATATACGAGGGACCAAGTTGAGGCAATTTACTTATTAATAATTAGGTACAAGCTGTATAAAATAAATTGAAACTGTGGCTGACTGTAAAGATATATTATTTGTAAACGATTGACTAGTAGACCTACACTTAATATTGGTGCCGCTGTAATG